TGAAGTGCTGCGAAGTACAACTGCATATAAATGTTCTTCGAACAAAATTATTTATGCGAGTCAAGTGAAAATAATGAATAATAAAACTATAACAAATAATATGAGCACGACCCATTGTCTATATTAGAACACTTCTGACTCATTAGGTTCTTGCCAGCGATTATGCCTGTGTTACCCCTCAGGCACTATTTCCAATATTGTGGTGTTAACAAACATGTGAATTTGAACTGAAGAGAGATTAGATCAACACTGAGAGTTTCCCTTGTACTAGCCCACCCCAGAGAAGTTATCAGCTGAATGTTATTGTGAGTGTGGTTATAGCACAAAATGATGGGATTATGTCCTGTAACAATCTCTTATGACCACTGTTATTTTAATGGGTTGGATAACTGACATGTTTATTTTATCAAGTCTGACCTTTTAAAGTAGGTGGGAGTTAAATAGTTATTTAAAAGTAGTTTGGAATATGCTGTTAACTGTTGGATAGCAAAAATTTGGCAACATGGGATCTAACATGTGTGACAAGTGGGGGGGGGGGATAATTATTATGCTTTTAGGTCTCAGTATTTGATATTGGCAATCAACATTATTTTGAATCAGCAAATTAATGTTAGTCCACCAGGCTCATCATGGCAGTGGACAATGGGGAAATTTGCTGATAGTGACACCACTAATTTGTTGGTGAAAGAGTTATACCCGATTCACACGTGAAGTTAAATTTAACAAAAAGTAACAAATTGTAACCGAGCGATCTCCCAAGTTATTCCTACCGAGATAAAAAGCATTCACACGCGTCTGTAAGGTAATGCCGAGGTCGTGTAAAATTTATTCAGTGTTTATTTAATGAATCATTTTTTCCCCTACTGCGATATAGGTCTAGCCTAGGCCTAGTTGAGAACCCCTGTCACAGATGGACTGTTGAACTCACCATCACAGTAAACATTCAAAGCAATCAATGCCCTTAACAACTGCTGTACTACTACTACTAAACTAGGCATAGCTTCCAACGTTTCTGTCGACTCTTGATAATACTAGTAATAGTACTAACACCATCCCGACGTTCATTTTATGTATATCTTCTTCTTCTACCATTACTAATTAACATCAATAACAAGGGTAATGCATTCATCATTGTTGAAATCCCTGCGCATGCACAGATCCATCCATGCTACATCTCGGGAGCTTTACCAGCCTCTCTCAGCGAGGCTGGTGAAGATTACCGAGACGTTCCGAGATTTTACAAGGATATTACACGGAGGTACTTTCACACATGCCGTAAAATGTTACTTTTCGTTACATTTTGTTACATATAGTAAGATTTTTGTACGTGTGAATCGGGTATTAATCAAGGATTTTCTTGTATGAACTTATGGGTAAGTGCGTATGTTATTTATCTGGATCCTACTGTCAGCTGGTGTGGGGGTGTGGGTGTGAAAATAGCCCAGACCTGTCCTCACATACACTATATACCCAACTGGCTTAGATTAATTTTCCCACTTTCTTACCTTTTCCTCTCAACTTACTGAGCACCACTTTGTATTCATTTTCATTGATGTACGTCATCCATTCATCTATGAACTCCAGCTGATGTTCCTCTGGTACTAATAATTTTGCTAAATCTTTGAGGAGCTTTCCACTAGAAGGTATTTCCCATAGACTCATCAAAGCATTTGTTGATACATAAAATACTAATGATCCTTTTCCAAACTTGTTCAGCTTTAAACCATAAGGTTCAAAATACTGTACGTGAAAATGTTCTCATGTCTGTCAAAAAATTCTGGCATATCGCTGGCGGCCAGGGAGCCTTTATGTTCATCAAGTTCGATTAAAAATTTAAGGGCATACATCTTAGAATGTGGTTGACCTTCAGAATCAGATGATTCTCTTTTGCGCTTGCGAATTAATTTTACAGCAATTTCTAAAATAGAAAAAAAGTAATATATATTAAATCTATAATTATTAAACAATCTAGCATATAATTTACTTCAAGTGGTCATCCATCAACAATATCTGTACTGTAGAAAGAAAATGAGAATTATAACATCCACTTTGAGAGTTGTTTTTTGAGCAAACAGTATTGTTTCTACAGTATGTTAGATCATAGAGGCATAAAAATTTTCTCCAATGTTAAATGAATGGGAGATGTTGGTTATTCCTGTAGGCTGGGTCCATGTTGCCTTCAGTTGATTTGCATATATTTCATGCAGGGGCGGATCCAGAAATGTCCAAAAGGGGAGGCCGGAAGGGGGGCCGAAAGTTGGGCCGATTGAGACAACACTGTCGTAGGGGGTCCGGGGCATGCCCCCGCGAAATTTTTGTGTTCTAGATGCCCGAACATAACATTTGAGGCATTCTGGGCTATCATTTTTTTCCTTTTCTCTCTTTTTTTTTCTTTTTTTTCCTTCTTTTTTCCTTTTTTTTACCTCCCAAAAGTGGGGGCCGGGGCCGGGCCGGCCCCCCCCTAAATCCGCCCCTGTCATGTTCATCTGTTTTGATTATTTTGACAATAATTGTCTGATCTTTGATCACAGATTCCTCTCCTTTTAATGTTAGCCTGCTGCCCTCAATTCTGTTACAGTCCCAATATCACATTGTGTCAATGAAGCCATTTGCTGTTTGTTTACACATGGAAGTAAAATTTTCCATTATCATCTGGCTCTGTTTTTGGCAATTCATTTATGTAATTACTCTTTCACTTGACTGCATTGCTGTGCCTTCATCACTCTTTAATAATTGATTAAGAAAAGACAATTTTGTATTTACAGTATACCAGATAGTGTTGCTTTTATATTAATTCATTCATTTGTACATCATTTACCATATTCTTTTTTTTTGTAAATTGTCTCTACTTCATTTTTCATTTTGTCTCTATTCTCCTTTACTTTTTTGAATATTTCTTATGCGTGATTGTCTATATCTCTTCACAAATGTGTCTTTATTTTGTTTTAATGTTGTAGCATTCTGAATAACAGCTTTCAGACCATCTTTTAATTTGTTTTTCTAAAGTGGCTGAAGTTTCTTTAAATGTTTGGAATGTGTCTGAAATGTTGATTGATTTGTGTTTTCCATCCCATGCATTGTGATCCATAAGTATACACACAGATTTGAGTTTTACAATTTGTGCAGTAGAACTCCAAAGGTTTACTGATGTGAACACAGAGGAGGCTAGATGAATAATAATAATATTAAACTTTAATGTAGCTCATAATGTCAAAATGCTTCTGTAAAAGATTACATGTTTAATGGACAATAATTTATTTGATATTGTAGCATTTTTTTTACCTTTTAATCTGTAAGTGCATTTTAAAAATTAATGGTGTGATTTCCACCTGATATTTCCAACACTAATATTATTATTTTCTGAACAAATTTCACCTACAAGATTTTAATCTAACCCCATGACAAATATGTGTATTTGTAGGGAGTCGAGGCCAATGATAATATTGTACTTATAGTGATGGTTTAAGTAGCATTCAGAGGTGAGCTAGAATTATTGCTTGCCCTAGGAATATATTGAGTACACAAAAATGGTGACCTAGAAATTATATTCTAACTTGGTCTCCTAGAAAAGTTTAACAATTGATTGACAAAATTAGTCCTCAAAATCTGTCATCTTTCTCCACACATTACTTGGACTCGGCAGCAGGAAGAAGAAAGGCAGTTGCACGATTGGAATTGGTGGTGTAACCCTCTTTGGGTGCTAGCTTGGTGTGTGTGTTTTTTTTTCTCCTTGCTTTTTATTCAACATTCTTTTGTTGTCTACCTATTTTATAGTGCAGAGACTTGTTTATTATAAAAATTCATCTATTTTTATCATGGTAATTTTAATGTAAAATTTTGCATGGTGCTGAAGATCTTGATTCTATCTGGCTTTAAATTTCAACATAGGACTAGAAGGTCAACTTCAAACACGAGGTTATCAACCAGAAATCTTCATGAAAATTTGAGTTAACTATCATTAGAGGCTATTGCTTTACAAAATTCTGGTAATAAGAATCATTTCTTTTCAATTCATATCTGCTAGAAGCTATTATCTCAGATACAAGAATATTTTGATTCAGTATTTTCTGAATAATTAAGATACAGTAAACCCTTGAAAAACACACATTTTCTGATTGGAGAAACTTCACATATGCACCATATACACCTTATTTATTGGATCTATTGTACTGAACAATATAAATTAATAGAATATTTTCTTTAAAATTCTCTCTTAAATGTTAGGTGTGCTTGAAGTGTCCCAAACAATAGAAGTGGATTTTTCCAGACCTTTTACTTTAGTCTTGTGATCTAGTATAGGCTGGTTTCTGTGATGAGTGTAATTTGAGGAAATCTGCAGTCATTCAGTGGCTTTGAATTTCAATAGCGG